TTTATTTTAAATATATTATGTATTTAATTGTTTTGTAAAATTTTTAATTCTATTAAACATTAATAAAAATTATTTCATATAATACATAAAGTTTAATTTTTAATCTCTTTAATATCAATGTAAAATAATGGGCAATAAAACGTTTTATGATTTAATAACAATTTTACATTCTTTTTAAAAATTGCCTGAATTTACCACAAACAGTTTTAATATAATTTGAGATCAACAATTAATTTTCTATGATCAGAAATAATTATTCAAGATATTCATAATCTTTGAATTTTGGCCGTAATTTACGATAAAGCTATAATTAGTAACCTAAATTCTTTCTTCCTACTAGATTAAAAAAAATTTTTTGAAATTAATAAAATCCTCATATTTGACCTGTTTTGTTTTTTAAATATCAAACAAAATCTACAAAAAACAGTTTAAAAATTTTTTTTCATACTTTTATTATCAAAAAAATTGAGTTATAATTTCTCTCAAAATTTGCAAGAAGTTTTTTCTTTTCAATTCGACCAGAATGAATTACAAGAGCATTTAGCAGACATTTAGACCCTGATTTTATCTGATGATAAAAACGAATATGATGATGAGCTAGTAATTAACTTTGAGCAAAACTTATACAAACAAGCCTTAAACTTAGCTAAATATGAAGATGACTCATGGAAAGAGCTTGATGTAGAGGATATGACAATTTTGCAGGAGATAAGCTATAAAGAAGCTGGCAGTAAATATACTAAAGAGATTTCTAAGATTAAAGCAAAGCCAATTATACTGTGTGTCATAATTGATAATGAACATGAAAAAATACATTACTGTAATAAAACTAGTAATAAGAGGTTGTGAGAACTCATTGGTGTCTGGGAAATTGACATGAATGCTGTTAATGAAGTTAATAACCAACTTTATCTTCTTGGAGTATGTTCAAAGCACTTTAATTACGATCAAAATATAGTGTATAGTAAAAAGTTAAAAGTAGAATGTTTAACTGAAAAAAGTCAGTTTAATTGCCACATTTGTTTTTTCTGCAATAAAAAAAAAGCTTTCTTTAGTCATGGAGCAAGTTGTACAGAGCATACATAGATTGTATTTAATCAAAAATTACAAGTACCTTGTTATGAAATAGTTCTTTGTCCAGCTATTAAAGAAAGCTCAAATACAGAAAATACAAAAAATTCGTTATGTATGCTGCCAGTGTTATAAAAAGAATGGAGGGTATTTGTATGTACATCAAGGTTCTGGATGTAGGGAAGATCCGGGATACACTATAGAGCATTCTAATGACACAACAACTGTCTTTTATCGCTTTGCAAGACTAATTGAAATGGTAGCACAATCAGAAAATGATGAGCTAAAGAATATTTATTTCAAGTTCTTTTTCCATGTTTAAAAAATCTTGATTTTGATTCACTACCCATACAAACAAATAGGCTACCTAGCCTATTTGTAGCTAATACAGCTTTAAAAGTTAAAGTGTTAAATTTTTATAAACAAATAAGACATTTCAAATTAAACTCTAAAAAAATATAAAGAATTTGAAGAATCACTTGCTCTTGATGTTTTAAATTCACATGCCATTTTATCTTTTTATAAATCAACATTAGAAAGCCTTAAGTCTTTACAAAAGTATTATGATACAATTCCGAAATGTTTAACTAGTTTCTTTGATAGTTTAGTTTATATTTTGCAGCTCCAAAAGTATAAAATTGTCAAACAAAAATGAAAAGAGTGCAAAAGTGTAATATTTGAATTTGATGAAAATAAAACAGTAAAAAGCACAGCTTTTCTATCTTCTGTTATTCTAATGCTTGTATTCAAGAGTTGGAAATTTTGACTTCTGTATATAATTAGATCTTTCTGTGAATGGCCAAAGCTTGTATCATATTTATGTTCTATTCTTCGAGCAGCAAAAGTTATAACATACTCTAAAGATTATAAAGTGAAAATTCAAAAAAAATATATGTTAAAGGCAGATATACAAAAAAGACTAAAATCAAGTCCAAATATTTGAAACCTGGCAATAATAAACAATATTGATTTTAAAGAAAAAACATTCAGAGCTGGTTACCTGTTTGATGATATATGAGGTACAGCTCATGCTATCTTGTGCATGGTTTTTCAGTTTGAAATACCTAATCTAAATATATCATCTTCAATTTTAAATAATCTCAATGAAAGTTTGTATAGAAGAAACTCATTCACTGAACAGTGGATGAAAAATCTTATACAAATTTTTAATTAGTTAATAACAGAATGCCCAAGGAGTTTGCTATGAATGAAATCAATGCTGCACTTAAAGGAATAGTGGAAGGAGAATGCAAAGTTCTTCAACTAAACATCATCATTTTAAAGGCAGGACCAGAACCAAACAGCAATCATGCAGTACATTAAACCTGTGAAATGTATATAAAAGATTTAGAGTTAAATCAAGAAGATTCTTTAGACATTGCTTGTGACAAAGCTATTTTTTATTGACTTAAGGATTATTCCAATGATTAACTAAAATTAAATCCTATTCTCAGTCAGTAGTATACGAGCAAGGATATGTGCAGTACTTTAATTTCTGCATTTTCTGGATATGGGTTATTCAGATTAGCATCTAAACTTGGCACAAAATTTCTAAATAAGCTTCTGAATCTTGCTAATTACTGAGCAACATTTCGTGTTCTTGAGCTTATCTGGTCAGCTGTAGCAATTGTTATCTATATATATATGCACAAGCATAGTGTAATACTAACAGATATTGAGAATGAAAATAATAATGTTCTTAAAGTCTGAGTTCTATATTATTAGTGGGCTAGCTTGCTAAAGCTTCATAAAATCAGTATCTGAATAGGAAACTTCGAAGCTCAACATGAGAGCTTGAAGGCCTTTGCGCTATTGTTTTCTGTTACTAAAAAAAATAGATATGCGGAATCAGTACCACATTTTTTAATATCTGTGAAAAAAAGCCCAGCGTTGAAAGCAAAACTTCAAGTAGTTGAATCAATAAATCTTATAGCAGATAAACATTTTTTAGCAATTGATGAAGCACTTGAGTATTTTGGTGTAAAATTTATCAAACAAAATATGACTGGATGTCTGACTGATCCAGATAACTTGAAACTAGTAATTAAGACAATACAAGATAAAAGAGATAGATTGATAGCATTATATGTAAAATTTGTAACTGATAATTACATAAGTAAGTCTGCACATGCAAAAATTGATTGCAAAGAAGCATTATGAAAACTAGTAGATGCACTTTTTGAAGCCATTTCTTGTGATGAACCTAAAAAGCATCCACTCTTTGAAATTTCTAATTAGCTAACACATAGTGGATATAAGAATATTTTTACTTGTTATGATAAAAAAAGAGAAAGAATCTTAAAAATTATTAGACAAAATATTTTAAAAACAGAAAAATATATTGCAAAAGGACGAATAAAAAAGAATGTGATACCTTTACTTCTGGGAAAAAGACTGCTCAAAATAAAAAGTGAAAACAGGAAGCCAAATAGAAGACATAGTATAAGCTGCAGTAGGTTTAAATATAGTTGGCAGTAGAATTACTGAATTATAGCATTACGGTATTTTACTATGTGGTGAAATTAATTACGGCATAGTATGTATCTAATTGCTGTAATGTATTACAACATTATAGCTCAAAAAAATTACAGCAAATTACCAAATTAATTCTACTACCAACTATAGGTTTAAAGAAATACTTCGTAAAAATAAATTTGAAATCATTGAAATTCTCTATATTATCTATAAAAAAATGAATTGTAATATATTAGCTTATTTTATACATATTTATTTGAAATAAAGCTTTGTGAATCTCACTTTTATATATAATTTTCTTTATATGCTACTTTTTCCCATACCTATGAAGTAACACCTAATAAAGATATATTTTCTTGAAGCCCATGCTTATCTCGACCTTTTCAACTACTTTTTTTTTACTTCCTATGCGTATTTGAAAATAATCTTAGAAAAGAGTTAAAAATATTTACTGTTTTTTAAAGTACTAGTTATTTAAAAACTTACTGCTCAAATAAAATCAAATAAACTTAACTTTGTAGCATAAAACATGTAAAACAAGGTTGTTTTATAAAAAATATATATATACTAGTAAAATTAAACAATTAAAAAAAAACCGTTTATTAGATATTAAAAATTTTTTTGAAAATTGATAGTAGATCAATTTCATTTAACATGTCAGATGACTGGTATTAAAGTAGCATATATTTAATTGATTGAAAGTAAATATTTTCTGTAAAAGTATTGAAATCACCTAAGGTTATTAGAAAGATGTTTTGTACTTTAGCTTGTTGTATCTACTATATTATGTATTTTGGATCTGTAGTTGAAGATATGCATCATTGCTAGGGAGGTAAAGTAAAATAATTCAAACCTTGAAATCATGTTTAAAAAAAAATCCACAGCTATAGCATATCCAGGCACTATACTGATACTGTGAATATGCAGTGTAAGAGAGTTACAGATCATAATAGCTATTTCTGCTTTAGAGCTATCTGTACAGAACTAGAGGTAGATATAGTGTTGGGTTTTGAGGTGCTTTTGTAGAGTTGTTTTACTAGATAAGTTTGGTTTTTGTAATACTAATAATATCCAAGTTTTGCTGGAGGCAGTAATTTTCCCAAGCCTCTTTTTTTGATATTTGTATTGAAGCCTTGTACATTGTGTGTGCAAATAGAAAAAGTTAGTAGAGAAAGTGACATAGGTTGCTAGGTATCAGATTAAGAGTTAGTGTAGTTAGCTATGTGATGTATATTAGGTTAGGGAGTATTGGGGACTAGTATATTGTGTAAGCTACTCATAGGAGTATTCATTTGTATCTATTGGTGTTGGGTTGTCCAATAGAGTGGTGTTGTTATTAGTAGATGAGGTGTTCTTTGTAGTTGTTGTTGCTACTGTAGTAGCTAATATTTCATTAGATATTGTAGCAGGTGTAGCCTCATCTATAATAGAAGTAATGCTAACAAAGGATTGGACTATACTAGGAGAAGTTGGGTGTGGAGGTGTAGAGAATTTATTAAATATACTTCAGCTAGGAGTGGGAAGTGGGTAAAGATCTAGTAGTATATCAAGAATCTTTTTAACTATATAAAACTGCTTTAGGATTTTTATAGTAGGAGTAATATCTAGTTGGTTTTGGATTAAAAGTAAGACAATAATTTCATGTTTGAAGAAATACTAATGATTTCATCGATGTTATCAGGGATAGTAGGGAGAGATTGTTTAGTAGTTGTGCTAACATCATTGGTTGGAGTAGGGCTGCTATTCTGGATTTGAATCTATTCTGAAGAAAATTATATCAAGTAGTAGTATTTGCAAAGAAGTTTAGCTGTAATTGTGAGTTGCTGTGTTAATATGATAGGAAGTAAGATATTGAGATTTTCAGTAATTTTCTTTGCTGTTGGCAGAAGGGATTTGTTAGTTGGGTTAGCTTGCATGATTTTAGATGGGATTGGAAAAGGTACTCAGTAGTGAAAGGAAGCTTGTTTAACAAACTCTCTAGCCTCATCATTATCAGTAATAGGTAGGTAAAGAAGGTAGTGGTTTTGATTTTGCTTGTGTCTGTTGAGAGAAGCAGTTTGGTGGTGAAGAAGTTATTGAAAAGTAATTTAAAGGTGTAGTATTCTCTAAGCTTGGAGATGACTTCGGCAAGTAGAACATTGGAAGTAGCTTGGTTGAAGGGAAAGAATTTTTGAACTTTGTAATTAAGCTCTTAGTAGATAGTAGGTAATAGTTTTTGGGTGGTAGAAGGTCAAAGTAAGAGTTAGGAATTTGTATAACGGTATAAAAGTCTGCTAATTTTCTTTTGTACACAGCAAGATACTGGAGCAAGGATCAGTGTGAGATTGGAAATAACTGGTATAGACTTGCTGGAAGTCTATTATAGTGAGGGGAAGTGGAGAGAGTTTGGCAAAGTATGTTTTAGAGAGTTCTGAGAATTTGAAGATTCTTCTTAAGGCATTTACTATTGCTCTAGTTTGTAACCATTATGCTATAGGGAGTTTAAATAGCAAAATATCTAGAATTTTCTTGGGAATCTGTTTAGATATATTGGGTAAAGGGATAAGCTTGTTTTCAAAAGCTTTGTTAATTTGTGCTTAAATTTTTTTGGGAGTTTCTTTACTAGAGTTCTTGATTTGCAAAAATCCTCTAGCATATATGATAGCTTTGTAAATATTTTTGTAGATGGTTTTCAAGAAGTTGATGCTAGATAGATACTGGAAAATGAGTATTTTTCTGAGCATGAAATGAATAGTATTGTGAGTAGTAATATTGGTAAGTGTAATCTCATTCTCTGTTTTGTATATCACTAATGTTGTGTTAAAAAGGTTAGTGCATTCCTTTTTGTGTGCTGGAGTAGTCGTAGATTTACATGTAAAGGTGGTAAAAAATCTAGTGTCTTGGTATATAAACTTAAGGCCAATTGTCTCTGGCAGCTTGTATTGTGTAGGATTAGTGATGAGCTTGTAGCTAATAAAGTTGTAGATACTTTCAAAGAACTCAAGAGCTTTTGCAATCATATTGAATAACTAGAGATCAGTGTTGAAGGGTGCATTAATGAGTGTGATAGTTTTGAAATAAATCTCTGCGGCTTACTCCATATTATTTTCTGGGGTGTTGGTAGTGAGAAGTTTAAGATTGGTTTTGGTAACTTGACTATAGAATAGCCTTGTAGTTGTATTTTTGCTTTCTTGCAATCTAGTAGAGATAGAACTACTGCCTATATAGTTTTAGTTGTTTTATTGAAGGTTGTAGTAGGTGAGAATATGTTGGACATATTCCTGGGCCTTTTGTGAACAGAGTTAAAGTCAAATGCAGAAACTATAGAGATAAGTCAGGTGTAAATATAGTAAGTAATAGTTGGGTAATTTGTTTGGTAGGTGTACTAGGTCTGGGTGTAATAGTTGTTGTTGTTGTGTAGTTACTGTTGGAGTTGTTAGAAAGGTTGGGTTCAGCAGATTTGTTGGTAAGTAGTATAGTATTAATCTTGTTATTGCTTGTGCTAGTATTTGTTTGTTTGGTAATCAGGTCTTGTGAGGAGTAAAAATTGCTGTATAAGCTTGTTTATTATTGCTTTTATTGGGCTCATTGTCTGAGCCTAACTCTGTAATACAGTTGTACAGTATTATGGGTAGATCTGCGTTGTTTTTATTTTTTGTATAAGGTTTCATATTGCTTTTGTATAAATTAATTAATATTGCAAGGTCACAACTATGTGTTGATTTGGGGCATTTGGCATTAATGCTTACAATATTGTTTTTTTTGTTGTATGATCGAATAAAACTAATTGGGCAGGGTCTTCATGACTACATATTCGCTAAGTTGGGTAGTTGGTCGGGCTAGAGATCTTTTCTAATTTGGTAATATTAACAAAGAAGATGAATGTGTCTGCATATTCTGGAATAGAGAAGCTGATGGTAAATGTGGGTTTTAACCAGTCTTTAATAGTTATGTTTAAAAAATTTTTTATGTGTTCTATACTAGAGCTTGGAGGTAAGCCAATAGTGTGTGTATCTTTGGGTTGCACAGGTTTTGGGGTTAAGAAAAATAATTAAAGATATAGAAAGAGCTCTTAAAGGCCATATTTTTGACAAGATCTGGGTTTTGGCAAGATGTGAAACTAGTTGTTTCTCACTATTTTTTCTAGATACACTATCAGTAGCTTGATTTGAGTTATTTAGAAATTGGGGGTCTTTAGGGTTGCTTTTGTGAGAGGGCTAAAAAAACTGCTTTTTTGCTGTTTTGAGAGTTTATTGTTAATAACTTTTTGGAGTGAAATCTTTTAATAGAACTTGCACCTTCTTTAAGTAGTGTTTGGGGTGCTAAATGACTTTACTTAAGAGCCAGTTATCAAATTAATTAGTAAGTTTTTGAGAAAAAGTTATGTAAATATTTTTTTTCTTGTTTCTAATTTGGTAAAGTGATCTGTGGAAAGAGTTTAAAGTTTATCTTTTTTTGATGATGATTCAAACATTATATTATTATCATCATTATTATTATTAAAATTATCAGAATTAGTATTAGACAATAGTTCTTCATCTTTTTTTACAATTTTATTATCCCAACCATGTTCAATATAGGGAAATAATAAAGAATATTATAATAGATCATATGCACTATATATTTAGAGATATTTTATATTTACCTTTTTTAGATCTAAAAAGAATTTTTCTTTTTTTTTGCATATAATTATTATCTAAAATTATTGCAGCAACTTCTTCTACTGTAAATGCATTGTATTGTCTTATATCCTTTCTATGTGTATTATAAAATACTATTGATAAATCTTGTAAATTTTTATCAAATTTATTTTTAGCTTGCTTTAATATTTGTAAAAATAGATTAAGGGCGTTCTCAAGCACCTACCTCAATGAATTCAATAAAAAATCTGATTGGATAGTTTGATCAAACAGACCAATCAAATTCGTTATTGTGTTCATTGATGTAGGTGCTTGAGAACACCCTTAAACTGCCAATCATACGAATGTCTGCCTATGAGTACAGAAGTAGATTCTAAATCCATTTTGAAGTATGACATATATATATATTTAACATATTATATTTAGCATTGAACGACGGATTAGATTTATAAACTTTTATATAAAATATTTGTGAGCTTTATCTTTTTTATCTTTCCGTTATTAGGCAACTAAATATTTTCCAAATATTATCGAGTTACTATGTACAATTTTTGCCAAATTTTATTTGTAATAACTTTAGTGACTTTCATTTAACAAGCCATATATCTAATAAGGTAACTGCGCAGCGTAGCCGCGCAAAACCAGGAACGGATGAATTGTCAGATTATATTCGAAAAAGATGATGTGACCCCATGATATTTGTGATGAACGAGGAAAATTTCTAAGATTCTAACTTGTCTATTAATTCATATTTCGATTAGTCATGTTTATATTTATTTGAAATTGGTAAGATTCTTAAAATCTACAGAAACTCTGATTTTCACGCGACATTGTGATCTGCAGAGATCACATCTTTTTACCCGCACATTTTTTATAACGTGGGCATGTTATTATAAAATACACATTTTCCCCACAATAATATAATTACGGCAGTTTGCAAAAAGGTGTGACCTCTGCAGATCATGATATCACGAGAAATCGGCCGATTCTAATAGATTTTTCGATTCTTAGAGAATTTAAAGGTTTCGAATAAAATATAGACTTTATTGATTGAAAATTATGATCAATAGGGAATTAAAATCTCAGAAATTTTCCGTTAACATCACGAAATCACAGGGTCATACCTTTTTGCAAATTGCCATAGTAAATTATTTGCGTACAGACCTGATCTTAGCATTCATATATATATATATATATGCATTATGGTTGTTATTAGTATTATAGCACTTCTGAATGTGTACCGAGTAATTAGCTACAGTAATCAGCACCATTTAAATTCTATCAGATAAACCTCCGTTTATTTATTGTACGTACATACGTTTCGCAGATCTCTTTAAATAAAACTTTTCACCTTGTACTCCGTTAATTGTTCTAAGTTGTAGTATAACAAAATTGAAATAAAATATTCATGGACTATATTACATGTGTTTAGCAGGAAAGTGTTATAATTATTATTTTGTTTTTTTAATAAGGTATAGCTTAGGGTAGATTATATAAAAGCTTCTTTTGTTTCAAAAAAATTTTTAAACCATGCAATAAATTTAGCCATATTTAGTAAGATGAGAATGTTATCGTTTGTTTCTATTTAATTGAGTTTTGATTAATTTAATCTATCACAGCTACGGAGTCTAACCACAACATGAGGTTCTTGCACTGCTATCGTAGATGCGGTGCTTAATCACCAGAAATAAGGCTCATGCGCTGCCTTCGATGGCTAATCACAGCATGAGTACCTTTGCATTGATATCGCATCTATGGAGCCTAATCACAATGTGAGATCCTTGCACTGTTATCATAGCTAAGGTGCTTAATCATCCAACATGAGGCTCTTGCACTACCTGCGACAGCCATAAACAACATGAGGTCCTTGCAGCCACAGAGCCTAATCACAACGTAAGATTCTTGTACTGCTATTATATCTTTGGGCCTATAATAAAAAAAAGTCAAAATTCTATTCAGATTTTGTTCAGATTATTATTTTAAAAAATAAGCATTTTTCGTAATAAAAATCCGAACAAAAAAATTTTTACTTTTTTTTTTATGAGGGGCCCAATTATCAAACATGATGTTCTTGCATTGCATGCGGCAGACATAAGGCCTAATCACAACAGGATGTCCTTGCATTGCTATTGCAACCATAAAGCCTAATCATAACATGAGGTCCTTGTACTGCATACTACAATATCAGGTATAGTAAACTTATCTCTGACTCCCTTTAAGCAACTCAAGCGCCTAGTTACATATTAAAATTTCTTTATTTGACTTTATCTAACTTTTATAATTGGGAATTAAAATCGCCTATCAAAGGTTTATAACATTTAATAGTTTAATTGTGTCTAGAAATTTGACCCAGCTGAGCTATAAACAGCCCGCGAAAATTTTATACTAACAATCAACGATATTCAGCTTAAACTATGAGAAAATTTTATGCGGTTAAATGATTTCAATCTTTAAATTAATCTGTTTACCTACAACATTATATCTTAAATAAGTTATTGCGCTTTGCAAAAAGATGTGACCTTTGCAGATCACAATGTCGCACGAAAATCGGAGATTCTGTAGATTTTAAGAATCTTATCGATTCAAATAAATATAAATATATGAATTAATAGACAATCTAAAATCTCGGAAATTTTCCCCTCATCATTACAAAAATCATGGGGTTTCATCTTTTTGCAAAGCGCTATAAATTTTTTAGATGACAGTCCTTCAGAATTATAATTATTATAACTAAGGTAATTCAATCATCATGATTGTTGTTACGTGCGTAAACCGCATTACAAATAATCTCTCATATCGATATGTAGTAATAACATGTAATTATGTCAATTAAATAATTGACATAAATTGAAAAATGACGAACAATTACACTTATTCAGTTTGAAAATTTTTATATTTTAAATAATTTTAGAGTAAATGACCAGAATACTATTACTTTTGAAGAAAATAGCAAACATATTATTTTATATATATATATATATATAAACAAACTTATGACAAATTCCTAAAGGAAATAATCAAACCCAGGAATATCTTTCAATCAACATCCAATCTACATTATCATCGTCATCCGCATACCATGACAAATATGGCAAAGATTCAGTCCTTTCAGCAACTTCACCATCAAAGATATTTAAATCATTTTCGATATTGAATAAACTTAAATCCGGATTCCATAAAATAATTTGTTTAAATTGAAATTTACTAGCTTCTTGCATGGCTTGTTGAATTAATAAACGTGATGTAAATGGTGAATCACTACGAAATCTAAGAATTAATAATCTATTTTCCTTAAAATCATGACTCCACATAATAAATCTTTCAAGTAATTCTTCATTCTCATCATTATTTTTATTCAAAATCATTGCACCAAATTGCCTTGGATCATTAATATCTGAATGCAACTTTGAATAAAGTTTTGTTTTTTGAAATATCCAGTCAAAAGCAGGTTTAGTAGGTAATATAACTAAACTTTTCTTGTTCAATTTCTTTAAATCATTTTTAATAAATTCACAATCTTTAATAACAACACTTTCTAAATTGGATTGATTAATTGATACGATCAATTTAGAATGATTCAAAGGTGCAAAATATTTATCTTCAACTTTAAATTTAATCTCTTTATGAGGAAAAATTTTCCAACCCAATTTAGAATAAAAATTAGGACCTATTTCAGAGTACAAGTATGCAAACTTGGCCTTGTATTCGAATCTTAATTTATCATTTAACAATTCCATCACTTTTGCAGCATAACCTTTGCCTCGGTACTTAGAAGGAGTGAATAAAGCAGTGATGCAATAACCAATTACTTCTTGAATTTGTCCAGATGATAATTTTATCAAGGCTTTACGTTTGTATGTTTCACAATGTGAATAGATTGTTGGTTCAGTATCATTTGATAAATTGCATTTTTTTGAAACTAGAATCCAAACTATAAGATTTTCTAATGTAAAATCGATATTAGCCAGTATCTGCTCACGTTCAACGTATTCATCTAGAGTCAACAGTGGATAACCCCAGCTCATATATGAATTGCAATTAGTACTAAATTAATAATAATAATAATAGATTTTAAAATTATATATTAGTTGTAAGTAAAAGCAATAATTGTCATTTACATTCTAGCCTGTTTCGGAGTTGCCTCTACAAGTATCAAATCCTGATGTTCAGGTTCAGAAGACATTGAAAAAAATCAATGGTTTAGAGTATAGAAGTAAAATGAAGATTTGAAATCTAACGCAAACAATAACGATAAATATTTTACAATCATGTGTAACCACGTTTAGTTATACCATGAAATGTCATGAACTGTGAGAGAGGAGTTAAGATTTTCTATATCTGATATGCAGTATGACATAAACTTACGTAAATTTCATAATACTACCGAATTTATGTACCTAAAATCGTGATGAAATTGTATAATTATGACGGTACAGTATACAATAACTACATGAAAAATTATATCAATACGACTACATGAAATGATTTCGTCATTTATTCGAAAGGAGTTAATACAGTAATATTAGGATCTTTACATGCCATATACCGGTACGATCACGTTGAATGTGTGTGGGATTTTTTGCACACAGTACGTATATATAATTTTTATTTGATATAATTGGTTAATACAGATATCTGGGTTATTTGATTGTACACTTATTAATCGCACTGGTTCTGCCTGACATCGCATGCTGCAGCTAACTTATTGAACTAACTAAATCTAGTTAACGTCAGAAGCGTAAATTCATAAAGCATAAGACGTTTATAAACGGTAGGCATAAAACTTTTTAAAGAAGCGAGATCTTTGATATTATCGAACAATACGTACGACAAAAATATATGATTAACAAAGTTTATGTAAAGTTTATTTTTTATGTGATTTTTTTTTTATCGCGTTAGAATCTAGTGATGGAATATTCCTTTTCGATCCATATTTCCCTGTCATAATTTCCGTTATTTTTTTTGTTAACTATAACATTACGTATTCTAAATGAATTGCAATGCTTAGTCTTAATATTTATAACGCCAAATGAATTTTAACGATTAGTCTTCATATTTGCACAAACGTTTATCGTGCTTAAATACTAGTTCATAAATTATTTATCATTTTTTTATTTATCATTTTTATTAACTAAATAGTCCAAAATTAAGCAATTTCTACATCTTGAATAATATTTTTTAGGAATGTAAAAGGTTACCTAATTAAGTTAATTAGCTTGTCACAAATTTGGCAATTCGCAACAATATTTCAAAGTACAGAAATATATAATTAATTGAAACCCGGTGTCAACGATTCTTGAGATAAGATAATCTATATGAGCACGCAGACGTAACCTGGGAAGTGATGTAACTTAGGCTTGAATTTATATGAATAAGTAAAATCAAAATTACCTGGCAAAAAAAAATTTCAATAGTAATTTATTATAAAAAAATTTCAATATAAATATTTTTAAAAGTAGATTAAAACACTTGGCCCTAAAACTTACAAGGACGACCTTGGCAAAATTTTTAATCTGTTCGTTTTTGGAACCATGATGATATCACCCGCAAATTTATCATCTTGTATAGCCATTATAAAAGCATTAATCACTTCATCAATATGAACATAACCAGTTTTCTTAATCATTTCTTCAAATTGTTTTGACTTCATTTCTTGTGTCAAACGCGTAGCTAATTGTTAAAGTTAAAATATTAAATTTAATAAACAGATAATAAATATAAATAATGGTAATAATCTCTTTATTTTATCCTACCAACAAACGAAGGTGCAATGGCATTAACCCGAATTTTATCAGTATCGTTTAGATCACGTAGTGATTGCGTGAAACCAACAACCTAAAAAAAAAATATTATTAAAAAAAGACTATCAATATCTCAATAACAGATAATTGGATTACAAATACATATGTACGATTTCGTACGTACGATTCAAAAGATTATATACATACAGCACGTTTTGTGGAACTATATACTGGTGCAACGGTCAATGGATAAAATGCAGACATTGAAGCTATAAAAATTAATTGAAAAGACAAATTATATGTATTTCTTTTAACATTATTTAACATTTAACATTTTTGTTTACAAACCTGTATTTACGATAACACCTCCACCACGTTTTTTCATAAATTGAATTGCTAATTGTGTACCTTTAATTACCGCATTTAAATTAATATTAATAGTGTTTACCCAACGATCTGTTATTTTAAACATGTGAGTCAAGTTTATGCATAAAAATAAATTCACAATAATGATGAATTTTACTTAACCAGTTTGATCATAAAATTCATTTTCTTGTGCAATTCCTGCATTATTGCACACGATCTTTTAAGGATTATAAAAGAAAATAAATTATTAATTAATTGTTCATCAATAATTAATCAATTAAAAAATTAACGAAACACTTACATCAACACCTCCAAACTTATTCTGTGCAATTTCGAACAATTGACGTAAATGTTCGAAATTTGTTACATCACAAAAGACAAATATTGCATTAATTTTATTGCTAATTTGTGTAAAATAAGATAAATATATTATTTTGATGTGGTGAATCGAGCAAAAAATTTTGAATTTAAATACTTTTTATTCAACTCTGTTTCAAGCTCTTGTCCTGCCTTTTTATCAATATCGCCAATAATTACTCGGGCACTATATTATTTAGCAATGGTTTTTTCTTTAAATTAGAACCAAGTGAAACGAAAAAAAAGACAATAACATTTTATCTATTTAACAAACCCTTCATGAATGAGTCGTCTAACTAAAGCAGCACCAAAACCATTCGAACCACCTGTGACAATTGCGACTTTATCTTTAATTTGCATGATTTTTTTTTTTGAGTGTGAGTGCTGTATTGGCAACAAGTACGTAAAAAAAAAAAAAAGAAACGTGTCAATCAATTTCAATGTACAGTAACAATCTGCTATATAATTTATATCAAAATGGTGTATTCTGTCGATCGATGCATGTGACTGTCTGATAGAAAAAAGGTATCACGTTATAGAGAATGAATTCCATTTCTGTATTAATTGTACAATAACGATAATCTAAAGTACTCAATCCATTCAATCCATAAAAAGATCATACACTAATACGCTGGATAATAGTAGAAATTTTACGAAACAAATGAATGATAATATTACAAGTACAACAGGGTGCTACTTTCGTAACTGCGCTATGCCCTACAGATCCCTCCGATTGTGTTCATCCGTATTAATATCATTTCCTTCACTTGTGTGTCATGTCACAGGAGGAACAACAGGAGGAAACGTCCAAATATAGATATGATTTTCATTCTCGTTACACAGATCACTCACTCATTGTATCGACCAGTCAAAATATCACTACGGGATTAGTCAACCAATCAAATTGCGAAATTTACAAAAAGACGAAACCGTGGGATTCAAGGGGATTCAAAAAACATGTTGTAAAGCAAAGTGAGAGCTTCATGTTTGTTTAATCATTTTCAATATTCATAGAAAAGATAAGTCAAACGAGCCTTCCAAAAAAGTATTGTAAAATAATATAAAAAAATTTTTTATCAATTGTGTAACGATTTTGTGACGTATCAACGTTTCCTCCTGTTAGAAATAACATTATACATAATGAAATAACCCTCTGGGAAGTAACCCGGTAAATCTCCGGCCATTTGAGAGTCCTTCGGGCCCCAATGACCGGAGATTTTACCTCTTCTTTTCTCCCGCCGTTGCGGGAAATAAATAGTATTTATCGTTCGTCTAAGATCTGATTCTGGATAAAGTAATAATTAACCTTGGCTTGTTACGCGAACTTTTTTTGCTTGCTGAAGTATGCACGTCTATCTTCGGAATTGTTTAGAGAAAGCAACAAACTTCCATTTTGTGAAGTGTTTTACGAATACAGTGAAAGATAATATTTAACTTTTATTAACTTTTTTTGCTTTTTTTAGTATATGTGCTGCAATCAAGCAGATTGACATTTTAAAAAAAAATTAATCCCTTAACTTTTATAATTTATATCTCGATGAATTTTGAGGTTATCTTGATGAATTAATATTCAAAAGAAAGCTTAAGATCTAGACTTTCTTTTGAATATTAATTCATCAAGATAGTTTCAAAATTCATCGAGATATAATTTGTGAAAATTAAGATATTAATTTTTTTTAAAAATGTCAATCTGCTTGATTTCTATTGACGGCAGCCCATATAATAGATAATAATCCTATTGTGAGATATCTTCTCGCGTTGAGATGCTGGTGAAATTAAATTGGTAAAATAAGTACACCATTTCACCAATTACCAACCGGTAATGGTGAAATTGGTGAATTTGCCTAAATTTTAAATATGAATCGAAGAATATTATAATCTTTGTTTAAAATTCAAATTTGATTTAGGTCATACAAAGTTAATTTATTGATTCTCGTACTCGGTCGGATCAAACTCTGCAAAAATTTAACTATATTCACTATATTTTTTTTTATGTTTAAAATTTTTTTAATAAACTAAAAGCCGAGTTATTTTTTAAAATTTTATGAGACAAATAACCCAAAAAACTTTTAATGTTCTCAACTAGAGATCATATTTTAATAATATACAAAGGTCGAATGATAGCAAATCGGATACAAATCGGGTGTCTAATTTTAAGCTGATTACTACCTGATTACTACCATTACATGTCATTTTGTTGCAACAAAAATCAACATCAATCGGGTAGTAACGGTAATTAGGTAGTAATCAGCTTAAAATTAGACACCCGAATTGTATCCGATTCGATAGAGATGGGCAAATCTCAGTTTCTTCAAAAATCCCGCGGATCACGCGCGTGATGCGCATCCCGCGCGGGATAGGATCGCAAATCTGCGAGCAGAGGTCTTTTTCGATTTTTAACAGCTGCCCTACCTTGTTTGGTGCGTCAAAAGTGCGTCGGAGGTACGTCAAGTATAACCCGGGTTTGCATAAGGAGAGCATCTTCCTGGGTATCGAATACAAAGTAAAGTTCCAATTATATTATATAAATGGAAACTTTACTTTGTATTCGATACGCAGGAAGATGCTCTCCTTACGCAAACCCGGGTTATTCTTGACGTACCCCCGACGCACTTTCGACGCACCAAACAAGGTAGGGCAGCTGTTAAAAATCGAAAAAGACCTCTGCTAAATCTGCGGGTTTCTTAATTTTTTGTGTCCGATAAAAAATTATGAAAAAATTATTATTGAAAATCAAATTTCTTGTTTTACTATAAACTTCGAAAAGAGGTATGGGCATTATTTCGAATTTCGGCCTGAATTAAGCTTAATTTGGGTCAAAATTCGAAATAACGCTCATGCCCACTATTTTGAGAATTTACGGTTTGTAAATATGTTAATGCAGGCCAGATATTATATTAATGCCGGCCAGATAATGATCTTAAAAATTGTGTAGACACGAACATCAATTTTTAAACACTGATTATAATGAAATTATTGATAACACAGTAGTATCTTTCTGGGGTTTGGTGTACGCAGTCTAGTATTAAAGGAATTAAATTTATAGTACTGTAATGCTAGTTTAATATCTCAATTTCACCAATTTTTACCAATTTTCACAATTCAACAAGTTCTCCATTTTATCAAATTCTCTATTTTGTTGAAATAATTTCAGCCAGCATCTTTATTTTCACGGTTCTTCATTTTATTTATTAAAAAAGATTAAAATTTGTCTTGAGTGAAAGAAGAAAGTTTTGTTTATTTTGACTGATTGGCAAGAAACAAATAATGAAATAAATTCGTTTTCGTACATATTTAAAATTGTACGACATAAATAATGTTGTTATATCACTTAAAATGGATCAGGAACAACGCGTTTACATAAACATCTTTACAAAAAAAAAAAACCCCCGCTAGAGATATAAATTTTTGAAAAATTATGTGTTATTATATCTTCACTAACCGAGTAATATGATTAGCCAATAAACCAAAAGATGGCTTAACAAATACCAATGGACTAAATGTCCATTGGTGATGGATAAAGTCCATTGGTGATGGATAAAGTCTATTGGCAATGGGATAATGTCATTGGCAATGCGACAATGGATAATGTCCATTGACTTTTTTTTTCAGACCCATCGTAGTCCATTGCCAACCTTGGAGTAAGTGATTGGACCCGTCCAAAAAATCATGACCCGGGTGACCCGTCGGGTGGACCCGCGGGTCACCCGAGTTGATTAATGAGTCCACCCGGGTCACGGGTGACCCGGTTGACCCGGGTGGGTTAATCGACAGGCATATGATTGGTCGATCAAAACGTGATATGCGAATACTGGTTAAATTTAAAGTGGTATTGTTCTCTTTATTTAAGAAATATATATTTTAAAAACTGCTTCTAATTAATATGTAAAGCTTTTTTTTTTAAGAATTTATGAATATAGCTTTATATAATTTGCAATGTCTTCATTAGATATTTGAGAATAACGGATATGAGGTAAAAAATTTTTTAGAGTAACCTTTAAATTCATAAAATTACATAATTTATTGTTATACATATTAAACCCAAACATTACTGTAAATACTATTTTGTTTAACAAATATTAATTTGCTAATTATTTCAGGTAACAAACGGTTTCTTTTAGGGGTAATATGATTTCCTGCATCTGAAAAAAGATGTTCACTTGGAATAGAGGTGGCAGGAATAGACAAATATTTATATACAATTCTACTGAGGATGGAAAAGGAAGACTGTTTAGTACACCACTATTCATAAACGTTAGCTTCTTGAGGTAGAATTGGTGAGATTGATTTATTCAGATAATTGTCAATTTTGATTTCATGATTAACTTGTTTTTGATCTTGACTAAAAACTTTTTTCATAAAAGAAGGAGTTAAGGAGAAAGATGCTTCAACGTGTTTAGCTATTTCATCAATTGTATATACAGTATACTTTGGCAGGTTTTAAATTCAGTATGTAATATTTTGATTGTGTTGTTCTGTGTTATCTCTGACCATGTTAACATATGTTTTAAGTGTGGATCTAATAAGGTAGCAATCAACCCGATATCCTCTGAATCTTCCCAGTAATGGCAAAGAGAGTCATAGATTGCTTTTTTAATATTTTGCAACTATTTGTTCATTTGAAGGTGCTTCTTGAGATGTATGAATAGTTGTTTGTTGAGATATTTCATCCTCAGATAAGCTATCATTATAATCGTCATCTGACAATATTTCATCTAAAAACAAAGAATTTATTTATTTATTTATTTATTTATTTTATAGGTTTAGATAATTTTTATTTATACATACCACTATTAAGCATTTGTTCAATTCTATCTAATGAATACATGTTAGCATTAGCAAATTCAAGCATTAATGCTTCAATACTTGTATTAACAACTAAAAGGGTCATATATTTGATTCTACTAAAGTAAGTTGTTAATTTGTTAAATGGTTGAAGTATTTTTACTATTTTCTCTAGTAATTCCTATTCATTTTCTCCAGGTATAAGAAGATTTAATTTGTGAGAATCTTCTTTGGCTCCATCCTTATTTAATAAAAGTAAAGTTGCAGAAAGCTATTTAATCACCTTGTACAAGACCAAAAGCTATTTCCATGACTGATAAGTTGAGTTTCACCAAGTTTTTGTATCATCAATAGCATATAAAATCTTGAATTCTTTTCCATCAGGTATTGTTAAACTATCATCGGTTTCCATTTTTTTCTCAGTTAAGTTTTCATTCAAATCTTTATTATGTAATATAATAGGCTTTATATTGGTTCTGTTTTGTTGAGATAGGTTTATTTGTGCTTGATAAAGGCGTTGGCCTTGTTTAGGTGATCGAAAAAACTTGACAAGTTTATGGATTCATTTAGTATAT